GTGGCCTCTCCCATCGCGGAGCACAGGCTCCGGATGCGCAGGCTCAGCGGCCATGGCTCACGGGACCAGCCGCTCCGCGGCACGTGGGATCCTCCCGGACCGGGGCACGAACCCATGTCCCCTGCATCGGCAGGCGGACTCCCAACCACTGCGCCACCAGGGAAGCCCCATAAGAGATACATTTTAAAAAGCAAACATTTCTTCTTGGATCAAGTGAGATTCGCACGAGGGGATGTAGTTGAAATAAGTCTGCCGAAAAACTTACTTTAGCTTCTAAACCCTTACTTATACCATACAAATGAATCAGAAAAATTGTCTGATGAGCAGTCAATAAAGCCTGTTTACACATTGCGAGCTTGAGTCCTCCTGGAAGAATAACTCCCCCTAAATCAACACTCAATAACTTCCCAGAGAGCAAGAACCAGTCTCATCTGCCCTGTTTATAAAGCTGAGGAGCTGAACCGCTGGGCTAAGAATATCTGGGACCACGTGGCCCTTGGTAGATTCTAGTGTAGTAATGGGTTAACTGGCTCTTAAGTTCCAACAGCATCAGCAAAGGCATCCTTCGAAAGGTCAGAGCACAAAGTTAGGTCACTGGTGTCTGATAAAATTCCTAAGTAGAATCTGCTGTCAGCGCTTCACACTGAACCTTTCCCCACCAGGCGAAGTCCTCGACTCCGGCACGAAATCCGAAAGCCGCGACACTCTTCCGCAGACAACCTTGTGAACGAAATGACGTACATCACTGAAACGGAAGACGTGTTTTACACCTACAAGGGCTCCATGTCCCCTAAAGACAGCGATTCTGAGATTTCTCAGAACCGAAGCCCACACCGAGAGTAAGAAACTTGTGTTCCTCTCTTTCTTTGTGTCTGCTTGTTTGAGCTGTTGAGGAATTTGCTCAGGCCCAATGGCCGTTTAAGAGGAGGCAAGGGCTGGAGCCTGCAGCCAGCTCCCCGGGGTGCTGTCTGCCAGGCCAAGAACATCATCACGCTCTCCCTTCCCCGGCAGGAAGACAGGCTGTGTGCCTGGGCTCAAGAGCTTGCCCTGCTTTTTTTGTCAACAGCAGTGACATACTGTCCACACGCTTGTTAGCTCTCCTGAATAGTGTTCTCGCCAGTTCACGAGCAAAGCCCAGTTTAAGCCATTTCATACTCCAGAGGTTGTAGACATGTTAACTATAGTAGTATTTCTCTGGATTGTCAGAGTTTGACCACTGCAGGATTCCCCGTCACTGGAGATGTGCTTATTTTCTAGCTGTCCACAGAAAGCCTTCTCAGAACCACATTATGTCCTCGGGTTTTTGTTCTTTTTGTTTTTAATGAATAGTCAGTATAAAGAAAAAACATTCGGAGAACATCTCTGATTTTCTTTGTTAAATTTTTGGCAAGGACAGTGTGCATCAAATTCTTTTATGTCCCCACTTTCCTTTTTTAATGTGACAAACGCCCTTCACATTTCAAGGTCAGGAGAAAATATGTCTCTCCTAAAATACTGGCTTGAGTCCTTTTATTATTCAGTAAGATGATATCTAATTCAGTAGTTCCCTGTTTGACTTGATTACCAGGGAGCTCAGAGCTGCATGTCAGGCTCAATTGCATTAGCTTCCCATAGCTCAGGTTTCTGATCTAGTCCCTACTCTTCCTTCCTTGCTTTATTAATGGGTCTGATTTTTTCTCTTGTTTTAATGAATTCACTGTTCTACCATATCTGCACATTTTAGAGTAAGCGATCTCAAATCATTTTTTTGAAGTGGACAAGACATAGATCGTAAATTAAATGACATAAAGTATTATAGGAATGGATCATCTATTAGGAAGTCAACCATGGTCATTGAGTATCCATTCAGTTAAGTCCCATGCTGTGCCCAAAATATAGAAACATATAATGCTTCCCCTAATAGCAAAGGATTAGCAAGAAGGCACTTCAGTTAATCTGTAAATTTTTACCACTCTAGCTACTAGGATTAAAGCATTAAACGCATCCCGATTGTACTGTAGGCATCACAGGTGAATCACAGATCTCACTTCGCACTTAAGTGTGAAGTTGCTACTTCTCTGCTGTCCCTGACCACAGCAAACATAGTTTCCAGCTTTTGTGTTCTTAACACCTCTGATTAAATAATCCTCTGGTCATTATTTCCTGGTGACCTGAGCTTGGATGATGCTTTTGTTGAAACGATCACTATCTCTTGCTCCAACTTGCAGCCTCGCTGAGGTTAGAGTGGAAGGGTGTAAGTTCCTTTGCGTGACACTGGTTTTGCAGTTCTAGGTCTACAAGGGCAGGAGTGCAGGCACGCATGACTTGAGCCAGTTTGAGTCTGTCAGGGGCTGTGTTGCTTCGGTAAAAGGAGAAGGAGGGTTTAGGGAACTGACCGAGGGCTCTGGGATGCCCAGTCACACCCTTCCTGTCAGATCCTCCTGCTGTGGTTTGCAAATCCATCACGGAATTGTGGAGCTTCTGGACCTTCCCTGTCCAGTACAGTAGCCACTAGTCATGTGTGGCTATTCAGATTGAAATTATTTAAAATAAAATAAAATTTAAGTTCAGTTCCTCAGTCACACAAGCCTCATCTCAAGTGCTAAAGAACCACATGAGCAGTGGCTACCATATGGGACAGCACAGATGCAGTACATGTCCAGGTGCTGGCTGGAGGAGAGATGAATTCTGTCCGGTGGTATATGGACGTCTTAAAGGGCTACGCTCATTGCCGAGTCCTGCAGCACACTTTGTACACCCTTTGCTGCTCATTGAGGGCATGTGAAGGTGAATTAGACAAGCCTTTGCTTTCAGGGACCTCCAGGCCAGCTGGGCAAATAGCACATTATCAGCCTTCATCGTCACACTGTGGGGCTCTGTCACTTTGGTGAAAGGAGAACAGAGTTTGGGCAAATGCGGGTTCTGAGAAGCCTGATTACAGGCCCTAGGTCAGATCTTCCTTCTGTGGTCTATAATTCCATCTTCCTTCCCCACCATGGAATTAGAGCATCTAGAGCTTCACAGGCCAATACAGCCACACACAGATGGCTATTTAAGTTTATTAAAACTCAGCTGAGAATTCACTTCCTCAAGCCCGGTTCGATTTAAGTAATTTCTAGCCCTACTCACCCCTAGGCGTTGCACATCGGTTCTTCCTGAAACTCCTCCGTGAGACATAAAAAGATGTATCATCCTGGGGCACTTTTTATTTCGCAGTGAAATGTTAAAAGTAGCGAATAATGGTGATGCAAACACAGCCTTCCTTGCCATGTCTTTGCCAGGTGAGCCAACAGTAGATGGCTCACAGAATCGAGTTAGCGGCTGTGCTTTGCAAGTGGGGCGAACAGTTGGAAGAGTTCAGCCCCTAGCACCTCACTTAAGTAGGGGACCCCTTCCTGCTGGCAGGAAGCCACCTTCTGCTGGGTTTTCAGAGGCAGCTGGCCTCCCTGAGAGTCTGGTGGCCCTCCATTGCCCAAGGCAAGAAGGGAAGGTTAGTCTGTACTTGGAGAAAAAACTGCGGTGGTGTCTTCAGTGAGTACAGTCATCCCTCGGTACCCAAGGGGGATTGGTTCTAGGACCCTCACAGATACCAGAATCCATGTAAAATGGCTAAGTATGGTTGGCCCTTCGTATCCCCGGATTTAATTCGATCTGTGCTTGGTTGTATCCACAGATACCCAGGGTGGGCTACAGTATTTTCAAAATGTTTAAGAAACATTGCACATGCTTTATACAACACATTAGTGTGTTAAGAGGCAAAAGGAAGTATCCTGTCAGAAATCAGATGAATAACATCACAGACAGCAAGGAGAGTTCCTTTTAGAAAGAAGAATGAAGTATAATGTTCTGTACCCATGTAAACAAGAGGAAGAAAGAGAGAAAGGAAGAAACAGAGCAGTTTGACTTTGGCTCTAAACCTGAGTGGTGCAGTTCAGACTCTGGACATCATCCTAGTGGATAAGTCACCTTGGTTTGTTCCGTATTTATAGCAGCGCAGCAAAGTTTATGGTTAGTTACGAGTCCTTGGCAGTTTGCTTTATGCCCGAGTAGGCTGTCCTCTTGTTACTCTCGCAGACATTCCATGTTCCTTTCCTTGTTTCAGAGCCAAGGCCAAGATCTGCAGAGAAGGAAGTTTCCAAAAACAAAAACAACCCACCACCCAGGAAAATGGGAGGGGGTGTTTCCCAAGGGAAAAAAATGACTTTGCAGAGCAGAAGCTGGAGGAAAACAAATTTGAGGGCGGATGAGGGTTGTGTTTGAAGAACTTCTCCTCAGTGAATGGGGCTTGGTGCCTTTGCTATTTGCCTACTTCCTTCTTTAGAGCCTGCCTTGTTCCAAGGACAGGGGACAGCTGTCAGCTTTTATTTCCAAACTTCTGTACACACAACAATGTGAATATACTTAAATGCTACTGAACTGTAAACTTGAAAATGGTTAAGATGGTAAATTTTATATTATGTGTATTTCACCACTATTTTAAGAAATGTTTTTAAATGGCTTCTCTGCATTGGAAGGAACTTTGGGAATCCCCTTCTTCAGCTGCATCACCAGTGTAGGAATTCCCTCTGCCCTGTCACCTGGTCACCCTGCCGGTGATGGGCAACTCTCCTGCCGTGTGGCAGCCTGTTCTCTAGTTGGACAACCCAGTTGTCCAAGCTGTGTCTCCCCACAGGAGACCAGCCAGCGACAGGGTTTCATTAGGAGTTTTGTGTCCACTTGCCCTGCACCTTGCCTGCACTTCACTTGGTCTTGGGCCACTTACATGTGGACAGCTGACGAATACCTTAAACCCAGCCTGGCCTGATCTCAGCTCATCATCTTCTGTCCAGCCTATGGCTCCTCCTGTCTTGGTGAGTGGGGCCACGTTTCAGAACCACCCAGTGGGCCCCAATGGGAACTTCAGGCATCCTATACAACTCCTTCTCTTCCGCCTGCATCATCTAGTTTCTCACCTGTTGGTTCTCCCTCGTGAACATCCCTTGACCTGGACCCCTCCGCCGTCCACCCCGCACTGCCCCTGTGTAGCTGCCATCGTCTCTCGAAGGGACAGTTGCAATAGTGCCCTAAGTGTCCTCCTGTCTCTAGTCTCTCCTCCTTCCAGACCATCCTTAAAAAGGGTAACAGGCTCATTTCCCTGAAATTTATGCCCAAGCATGTCACTCGCCCGCTTAAATGCCTTTTCTGTGCTTTTTCAAAATTTCATGCCTCTGCAAATACCACTGAAGTTTTTTTATTACGAGAGTTTTGCCTAAAATGTAGGGCTGGCCAAAAAGTTTGTTCGGGCTCTTCCATAAGATCTTATGGAAAATCCCAAAGGAACTTTTTGGCCCACCCAACACTTTCTTCTTCCCTCTTGACTACCTGTTTAAACTTCTACTGGTTTATCTTTCAGACTCAAGCGCCCCCTCCTCTGTGAAGCCTCTCCTGGCCTCCCACTGTATGCTAGACATCTGAGCATCTCCATTACAGCATGATGATAATATTTGATTCCTTTTCTATCTTAAACTAGACAGCGAGCTCTTTGAGGGCAGGGATAGAGCCCTGTTCACCTCTCCTTCCCCCAGACCTGGCGTGGTGCCTGACACTTCATGATATTCCGTGACTACTCTGATGGATGGACAGGTGAATGGGGAGATGGTCACATGAAGCAGGATGTGGCCCTTGGCTAAAGTACAAACAAGCTCCCAAGTTTTTACAGTGGGTACCCCCTCTGCCACTTCCACGGCAGGCCCCCATATCACACAGCATCTAATCTGCACGCCAAGGACTCAGATTTCCTGTAACGAGTCTTGGTTACCTGTCTTCTGTGAGCAGGTCCCCATGGTAGGTGCTGCTGCAGGCTCTGTGTCAATGAGAAATTCTCATCAAAGAGTTCAAGCATGACTTGACGGAAATTTAACAAGTGCTTTCTTGCCCTTAAGTTATCGCAACGTCTGAGTGGGCAGCCTGGGGACAGGTGCATGACCCTTGATTCCATGCGTGATGAGACGTAGAGCTCAGACAGCGGCATCTCTGACCCACATTCCCTCAGCCACCTCCGCAGCTTCTTGAGTGAAGTTTCCATCTCGGGCCCTTGGCATGTATCGCAGAGATAAAAGAGTATCACCTGAAGAACGTCTCCATGTCGTAACACCCCTACCACGAAGACATGCTTTCTATTACTCGGTGATCCTTATGTCGGGATCCATGTGAGATATCTGGCTTTGTGTTAAGTACACCAGGAGAGGACTAGGCAGAGGACTAGGGTCTCTCCTGACCTCGAGAAGCTCATAGACTCGAGAGAGAAATGCCACGTGGAATGGCCCCTATTCTATCACCACCATAGCCAGTGCCTCCTTGCGGGCGCCCAGTGAGAGCTGTGAAACCCTCAGTGGGAGCACAGCTTTGCTTGGCTAACAGGTTCGTGCGGGGGTGGGGGGGGGGGACGCGGGGGCCTTTGTCATTTTCTAGAGTGTAGAAAAGAATGGAATAAAAAGCATCACCCAGGAAATCCTGCCATTTTAACTGTCTCTAACCTTGCTTCCCTTCAGAGAAATGAACTCTGTCCTGGCTTTTGTTTCCGATGACTACCGCATTTACAGTTCTGAAGCGTCGGCTTCTGAGGGCGAGCACCCGTTTGTCTGCCGGTCAGTCTGTCTGTCTGTCTGTCTGTCTCTGCCCCTTTCACCCCAGGGAGCTGGGGTGGCCAGTCCCTCCCTGGCCACTCTGGCTCCCCGACGGCAGTGACGGTCTCCCTTCCGGCCTCAGGAGCAAATCAGTTGCTTCAGCTCCCTCCTGCTACCCCTTTCTTTGCCCCTTTCACAGTTACCCACTGAAACCCCAGGGGTTCCCCTCTTCTCTCCGTCCTCACCCACTGGGCTCTCCCCTCGGCTGCACCTCACGTCCTGCCCTGGTAGGGAGGAAGGCCACTTGGTGTGGCGTCTTCACTCCTGGCATCCCTGTGCTGCGTCCAGCTGCCACCTTCTTGTTGCTTCCTGTCATCACATGTCCTCCTTGCCATCTGTCTGTCCATCCTCCACACTGAGCGGAGCATTACTGCAGCCTACAGGGAACGTCTGTACATGGTTGATCAGCCAAAAAAAATATTGTCATGTTTAATAAATTACCATCTGAGAGTAAGCTCTCCACCCCTACTTAGAAAATGGGATTGGACACATAATGACATTGAATATGTTATTTTTAGTACTATGGGCTGTTTGGGATAGACCATTACATTTTCTACTGAAAAAGAAAAATACTTTAAAACCTTATAAGATGTCATCTAAATTCTATATAATGTAATTCGAAATTCAGAATTTAGAAATGAAATATAATGAATACAGAAATACAGTTTACTGAAAAGTCTGTTGTCTTCTGCTTTGTCACCTTGCTCTTCTGTTTAAATGTCATCACCCTTTCCATCGCTCTCATCTCCAGATTCTTCCAAATGTTTGAAGTATGAATGCTATTTGCGGCTTCACAGTAAAGGTTCAGGTCCACCCCTAGAGCTGGAAATGGCTTTTCCTAAACCTCTTTGGCTTTATCTTGTTTAGCAACATCCAAGTTTCCGTTTCTGCCACTAGGAGGTGCTCTTATAAACATCAAAACTTAGAAAAGTTGCCCAACTTCGGGAGAATTTTTTTTTTTTAGCTTCCTTTTAAGTAAATTAAAGTCTCATTTATTTTCAGTCTGAAAACATACCACTAGTACATAACAAAATATCCTCTCTCTGAAATACCTTCCCATCCAACTTGAAAACCTTAAGGCCAAGCTCTTCTCTTGCAAATAGCTCTACTTCTGTACTACTCTGTCACTGAATTTTTTTATTCAAATGAATTGAGATTGTGAATCATTTTGTGTGACTATGATACAGATTTTATATTTAAAGTAAGCTAATTTGAACTTGCTAGGAAACAGAAGCACTACATTAATGAAAACTTCACGGATAAGGACCTGAAATAAAGAGGCAGCAGCAGCTGTCTTTTGTCTGTTTGTTTCACTGAATGTCTGTCTTTGCTCACCTTTCCCATCACTAACCTGGAATGAGATTAGAATATGGAGGAGTCTGTGGAACATGAGGACAACCCCATATTCTGTTGGCTTTTAAAGGCATCTTTTGCTAGGACTGTGGCTCTGGAAGGGGTCTAGCGTGGGTGTGCATGATGCAGAGAAGTTGCGTGTCCTACACCGTGTTCATCCCTGTGGCCCTGAGAGGTTAGAGAGGAGGGTCTTAGGAGCAGACCTGGTGTGAGGAGAGGAGAGGGGAGAGGTGCTGGGGGAGTCATGTTCATCAGACTTCTGTCTGTCAGTTGAGGGGAAAGCTGTGTGACCTTGGGCAAGTTACTCAGCGCCTCTTGACCTGTTTCTTCATCTGTGAAATGGGAGTTGAACCAGATGACCACAGAGGTCTATTCAGTTGTAATAGTCTGTAATTCTCGAAGATAACGCCATCCAGTAGAATTTCCTGCGATGATGGAAATGTCCTGTAACTGCGCTGTCCAGTGCAGGAGCCTCTAGCCACGTGCGGCTGTTGAGCATTTTTGAAATGTGACTGGTACAACTGAGGAACTTTCTAATCTTAATTTACTTAAATTTAAATGGCCACACGTGACTGGTGACTGCCATATTGGGCCGCGCAGCTCCAAGATACAAAAGGACTTATATTAGAGAAAAATAAAATGTATAATCTCAGTGGAGGCATTAATGGATGTCACAGGTGAATAATGTAAACTAGGATTCATATAAATTGTCCTGAATATGCCACGTTAGTCCCATTTCCTTTGGGTAGCGCCTGTCCTGTGAAGCAGAGCTATGAGTGGGAGTGAGATGGAAGGGAAAAGCTTTCAAAAGGGATGGAGACGCATGCATCTGGGTGAGCTTCAGTAATTAAGCACCAGAATAGCTGGGCATATTTCCCTATCACCCTTCCAAAGCAGCTGAGTTTTCAGCAGTTCCTGGTACTACCCTGCCCTCCTTCCCCTTTTCCCCAAAACTAAAGGCGATGATCTTTAGGCCAGTTGGGGACACGGGCAGCCAGTGGACTCTGGATGTGCCTGAGCCCTGGGCTTGACCTTTGGAGCTCTTCTAAGGTTCCAGGGATTGGTGACAGCCGCGAGATGCCAGGCCCCAACAGTCAGTAATGTTTGCTCTGATAAAATATTAATCCAGTTATTAAAATATCTCCTCCTTCCCCACGATGAAGGAGTATATCCGAGAACAACCCAGCACAAAGCTGCCTGACCCAGAAGTCATCCAGTTCTGTGTCTCCATCTTCAAATGCTCCAGGCTCCTGTTCCCCAGATGGCGTCGATCAGCAGTTCTTGGAGGACTTCCACAGGGTGACCAAAGGGGGCTCCGAGGACTCCAGCCAGTACTACTGTGACAAGGTGCGTGACCCCAGGTGCTGCGGCTGCAGTGGCAGCCGACCCAGCCAGGCGTCCCGTGCAGGGCTGCCTTACGGGCGATTAGGTGGTTATGACTCAAAGAAAATAGCATATCGCCAACCACTGGAGAAAGAAGTGAGATAACTGATGCTTTTCTGACGTTCTCCAGAATGATGGTGACGGCTACTTAGTCTTGATCCGCATCACACCAGATGAAGATGGAAAATTTGGATTTAATCTAAAGGTATGTTGTGTGTAATTTATAAGGACATTTGATGCTCCGAAGCAGTCTTTAGATGACTTTTTAACTTCCATTAGAAATGTGCCACGTACCCAAGGCTGCATAGGGAAATTGGCTCGGCCTTCAGAATTGGGAGCTTCTCTTTGTGGCCATAGTAGCTGCCTCACACCGAGTGCCTGCTCTGTGTACTTATTTATATCACCTTATTGAGTTCTTCTATTAAGTGGTGAAATTGGAATTTTAAAACCCTTTTTTTTTTTTTTCTTGCGGTACGCGGGCCTCTCACTGTTGTGGCCTCTCCCGTTGTGGAGCACAGGCTCCGGACGCGCAGGCTCAGCGGCCATGGCTCACGGGCCCAGCCGCTCCGCGGCATGTGGGATCCTCCTGGACCGGGGCACGAACCTATGTCCCCTGCATCGGCAGGCGGACTCTCAACTACTGCGCCACCAGGGAAGCCCTTAAAACCCATTTTATAGATGCACACTAAGGCTCAGAGAGATGGGAACCCCTCAGCATTGCTAAGAGAGAACAGTGGTTCAAGTGCAGGGCCATCACCCTCCTCTGCCTCCCTCTAGGCAGGCTCTGCAAGCTATGACCTGCAGGCCAAATCCCATCTGTTTTTATAAATAAAGTTTTATTGGAACGCAGACACCTCATTCATTTACAAATGGTTTGTGGCTCCTTTGGCACTACGGTGGCAGAGTGGAGAAGTTGCAACAGAGCCCTCTGTCCCGCAAAGCCAAGATAGGTGATATCTGGCCCTGTACAGAAAAGGTTTACTCTAGAGCAAAGTGAGGGCAGGTGGTCTTTGCTGCCCACCCCGCAGCTGCCATCACGCACTCCTTTCCAATACCCGCAGCCCTGCTGACAGCCTGTTCTCAGAGGTCAAAAGCCCTCACGACATGGGACCTTTCTACAGCTCCTCTCCTCCACTGAAAACCCCCTGTCCCTCAGCAGTTAGGGGCTGTGCTTCTTGAGTCCTTCTCCAGGGAGTGTTTGCATTTTTTGAAAGGAGGCTGCTTCCTCTAAGTGCATCTTTGGTCTGTGGAAGGTGGGGATGGCAGTGGGAGGCTTCTGAGCAGCCTTCTTTCTGGTTGGCCCACTAGACCCAGGGACCCAGGAACCTTGTCGTTCTGAAAGGTGCCAACGCCTGCAATTAGAATAAGTTCAAGGGAAGTTTGAGCCCTCCCTTGTGTCAGAGATATCTGCATGTCTTTGTTGCTGTGAACGACTCAAGTGGTCTTTTAATCTACATGTTTACAGGGAGGAGTGGATCAAAAGATGCCTCTTGTGGTATCAAGGATAAACCCAGAGTCACCTGTAAGTACACATATTCTGTTATTTCCCAAGTTTGCTTTCCCCTACATGTAACAGATTTCTGTTTCTGTGTCCTGTTTCTTTGTTACTGGCAGCAGAGAGTGTGTGTACATGCATATGCACATAGATAGAAGGAAAGAATGGAGGCCGTTTTCCAGAGCCTTGTTGCTCGTTGTGGTCCCCGAAGCTGCAGCACCAGCATCACCTGGGAGCTCATTGGAAATGCAGACTCTTGGGCCCCACCCAGACCTCCTGGACCAGAATCTGCATTTTAACCAGATCCCCGGATGACTGGTGTGCACGTTGAAATGTAGAAGCCCTGCCCGAAAGAAGGAAACTGGGGCTTAGAGTTTGCTGTTCTGCTCGCTCCGAGTGGGCTCACGGCCCCTGTGTCCCTCCCCCTCCCCACCCTCAGCCCTCTGTCTGGGGCTCTAGGCATCTAGGAGGTGATTTGCTTTTGTATAACAGTGAGCACCAAAGGGTCCCTGTGCCTCCTAAGAAGGTGCCTGTTTGGGAGTTTTACTCTTAAGCTTGTGGTTTACCTTTTCTTACTGCTTGTGGCCTCTGTGAGTTAAGAAGCCTTTCATTCCCACACTGTTCAATGCATGGCTTCTCTCCATAATGGCTTCTGCCTTTGGGGTTATGTTTGCAAAGGCTTTCTCCATCACAAGATAGATAAATACTCGCTTTTAGCTGACGAATCTTTTTCTTTTTCTTTTTCTTTTTTTTTTTACCGGTATACGAGCCTCTCACTGTTTTGGCCTCTCCCGTTGCGGAGCACAGGCTCCGGACGCGCAGGCTCAGCGGCCATGGCTCACGGGCCCAGCCGCTCCGCGGCATGTGGGATCTTCCCGGACCGGGGCACGAACCCGTGTCCCCTGCATCGGCAGGCGGACTCTCAACCACTGCGCCACCAGGGAAGCCCTGACGAATCATTTTCTAACCACACATCTAGACAACAAAAGATAGAGGCATTGAAGTCATTATGACATTACAGTAGCCTGGCTACCATAGAGAAATAGCCTCAGTAGTTTTCTTAGCTTTACTCCAAAATGTTTCATAACGTAGGTTCTGAGCAGGACTCCTTTAAAATCCCACTGCTAGCTACCATGTCAACATTGCAGTGGAGGCAAAAATAAAGACAGTAATGCCTGAGGGAGAAGAAGAGAACTTGGTCATGGTCTCAAGTGTCGGGGCTCAGAAGACATCGGGTTCTTCCCTTGAGGATTGTGTTATGATAACAGAAGAAACTCGCTCTTCCCCCATGCAGGCGGACACCTGCATTCCTAAGCTGAACGAAGGGGATCAAATTGTGCTAATCAACGGCCGGGACATCTCAGAACACACCCATGACCAAGTGGTGATGTTCATCAAAGCCAGCCGGGAGTCGCACACACGGGAGCTGGCCCTGGTGATCAGGAGGAAAGGTAACAGCCACCCGCGGGGGAGGAGCCTTAGCAAAGAGGGCCTTCCACAGCCTGTTCCATGGTTTTGCGATGTTGCACTTGTAGCCAACATGGGAAAATCAAGGGCTTTCCCGTGACCACCTGATGGCCAACTTCTCCCTTGAAAAATATGGAGATCTGCCTCCACAGGGCCCCACCCCTCATGGCCAGTCCTCTGCAGGTAGGCAGCACCCTCCACCCCTTTTTATACTAGGTGTGACCCTCCCCTCCCCCATTCCTCCCAGGCCCAACTCAGCCCACTTCACACACCCCTCTTAGCTGCCTGGCCCTGCCTGCATTTGCATATTCAACCCTTCCTCAAAGGACCAGGTTATATTTTATTCATGTGCATTTGGTTTTTGTTGCAGAGGCGGTAAGCAGAGTGGGGCAGGAGCCTGGCTGCCTTGGGGCTCTTCAAACTCTGCCTCCTACTGGGTTCAGGGACCTTGAGCAAGTTTCTCACCCAATCTGTGTTTCCGTTTCCTCTAATGTAAAATGAGGATGACATAGTCGCTACCTGCAAGGGTCCCTCGGAAGAGTAAATGATACTCATGCTGGAAGGCATCAAAGATGCTGCTCGGTACTTGGTGGGCATTTGAAAGGCAACCTCTGTTGAATACAGCTACTATTATCGTTGTTGTCGTTGTTGTCATAAAGCAATAAGCCGAGTCCTCGCGTCCTCCTTCCCAGCTCTCACATACTGCAGGTGAATGAAGTACGCGACTCAAGCCCCGGCCCCGCGTCTCCGTTCTGCCCTCACAGTTGTCGGCACAGCCCATGCCCCCTCATGCCTGCCTTCTCTGTTCCCACCGAAACCCCCAGTGCCAGCTCTCATCCCACCTCCTCCGTGAGGCCCTGCCAGATCTCTCCAGACCCCTACCCACCTCCTCCCACCACCCATCCCCACCAAACCCAGCTCCGTGCTCGGCACACAGTAGGGGTCACTAGTGACAGTAGCTGATGTCTCTGCAGCACCAGCGAAGTGCCTGCACTGTGTTAATTGCTTTGCGTAATTATCCTCTTCAACTCTTACAATGTTCTCGTGAGGTTGGTATTCCTACCCCCAAATGAGGAAGCACAGAGAGGTTAAGTAAGTTGCCGTGTGTCTGGTAAGGCCACGTGATAATAGAGAAGGAAGGAATCCAGCGATCGGGAGCAGGCCTCTCCACATGCAGTGCCGTGTGACGTGCTGGCCAGTACGAGGGGCTGGAACGAGAGCATTCCGGCTGGGCCGGGGGGGAGGGGGTCCTCTACCAGCCCATGGCAAAGGGCTGGCGCCTGTGTGAGGTGAGGGAAACAGATGTCTGTAGACGATTAGAGCTTAAAGAGCAGTGCCACTGATTTTCTATCACTGTAATGGTAAGTTCATTTTTCAAAGAAACATTCAAGTAAAAAATGAGTTGATTAAAAGAAAAATAGTAACATAGGGGATAGCAGATAGGACAGAAATCATGAAAATAAGCAGAAGATCTGAGCTTCTGTGGTCAGTGGAGAGAATGTGGTCTTTAGCGTCAGACATGTGGACTGAATTCCCGTGTCCCACCCTGACAGGCTGGGTCACTTTGGACAGCTCTTTTGCCCTGTGAATCAGTGTCCTCATCTGTAAAATGGGAATAAAGACCGCTGGTTCAGAGTTGTGAGGATTCAGTTCAACTATGTGGAAAACACAAGAGTGGTTCCTTTCTTTCTCCTTTCCTGTTATCTTGAAGGCAGTGGGGAGTCATTGAAGGCTCTTGGGTAAGGGAAGTGACTTCTCTTTCTGGGTAGAAAGGGAACATTCAGAGATGATCCCAAAGTTTGAAGTGACTAGACAGAAAGAGGCACATGAGGCTGGGAAGTATTGTGCATGGTTGGGGAGAGGGGGTCCTCTGTTTGTTTTTACCCGTATTGAGTCTGATGTGAAGGGAGATTTCCAAAGAGGAAGCACAGAGGAGACTAGAGATGTTTACTTGGGAGCCTCCCACCTAACAATGGCCTCGAGTTACAGACTAACTGACTGAGCTCTGCGGGGCGGTGGTGGTGTGGAGAGAGGGTCAGACCCCGCACCAGTTTCCTGCGAAAATGCCTGTTTTAAGGGAGCAAATGAAAGGGACCAGAGAAGGAAGGAAGAGCAGGGGTAGAAGAATAACCAGGTCACAGAGAGCAAAGGGAGAAAATCTGTTTTCTTTAAAAACGTCCTTTCCCTTTCTCTTATCCTTGGCAAAAGCCTCTTGCGTACTAAACACAGTCATTTAAAACTAACCAGCGGGCTTCCCTGGTGGCGCAGTGGTGGAGAGCCCGCCTGCCAATGCAGGGGACACAGGTTCGTGCCCTGGTCTGGGAAGATCCCACATGCCGCGGAGCAACTGGGCCCGTGAGCCATGGCCGCTGAGCCTGCGCGTCCGGAGCCTGTGCTCCGCAACGGGAGAGGCATTTTGTATAATTAGTACATATTGAATCATTCAACGAGAAGTTGTATCTTTGGTGAAAATGATTACCATGTGCTTAATCATTTAATAAGATGTTTTAAACCATCTGCATTCAGGTGTCGTAAGTCTAATTCGGGGGGAGGAATCCCATCACCCAGCACGTGGCTGCGCAAGCCAGACAAGCTCTTTCTCGTCCGCTACAGCTGTCCACTCGTTTGCTGACATCAAATCTGAAGATGAACTGAACCAGCTTTTCCCAGAGGCCATTTTCCCCGTGTGTCCGGAGGGTGGAGGCACGCTGGAGGGATCCATGGAACAGCTAAAGAAGGGCCTCGAAAGCGGGACGGTGCTGATCCAGTTTGAGGTAAGAGACCCCCAGTGCCTCGGTGGGCTGCTCAGCTGCTGCCAGGTCATCTAAGTCACCAGGCAGCTGTGCTCATGGAGGGACCACAGAGGGACTCATGACCTCAGGGAGAAAGCGGGCTGGGGACCATGGCCCATCGCTTGCCCCCCGTTCTAGTAACGATCAGGAGTCATGGAGAAACGTCAGAAATCGAGGAGGTGGGACTCTGAGCATGTTTAGCTGCTAACACAAAAGCTCAGAACACTCGGCAGTCGAAGGTAGTGGAGAGGCGGCGTGGATGGGTGCAGAGGGATGACGGGGGAGCTGGGCCCCGTGAGGGCACAGGGGCTGGGCTTCCCAAGTCCCCCAGAACCGTGTGGACACGAAACCAAAGTCAGACCACGTCTTCCCTCCCCAGGAGCGACCTCTGCTCATGGGATTGAGCCTGTTGACAAAGGCACATGCAGAGACTTCACAAAACAAAGTAGGACCCGAGGAGACTTGTGTTCAAGTCAGCTGTACTGATCACTAACAGAATGAAAACACAGTATGTTTGTCTTCCACATTTTTAAAAAGTTGTAGAAAACAGAGTAGTTTGTGCAGTAAAAAGGCAACAGAAGAGCACAGAGAAGCATAAAGTAGGCCAGTGAAAGAAAACTGATCATGATTAATGACAGCATACACAGTCTGGATCCCTAAATTAGGAGAGAGTCTCAGGTCAGATTCAAAAGCGGAAATCTGCACTGCAGAGTTTATTGGAAAGTTGTATAAAGGAAAAAGTCACAGAAGCAAAACTAGGACATTTATCAAATATATGTGACTGCATATTGATTCAGGAAGGCATGAGTAATGTGAGTATCAAACAAGAAGGAAGCAAAGCAGAGAGTCGAGTGAGAGAAAGGTTTATTCTATAATGGTGTGAGGAATAGAATGTAAATAAAATACATTATTAAAGCAATGTGTATTGAACAATAGTAAGAAGTAAAACCCACAAGGGAAAGGTGAATTGGCCCCACCAAAAACAATCAATAGGGGATTTTGAACTTGACAGCCTTGACAGATAATATAGACAAAAAATAAGCTGAAATCAGGATAAGAGGGTAGGAATAATATAGTTACTTGGATAGACTTGCTAGACATATACTGAACATCTACAAAGAGAGAGAGCTCTTCTTTCCAGTTGCCTGCAGGAGGCCAGGTAGGCTTAAGATTTTAAAAGAAGAAAATGTAGAAGTTGTATTCTCTGGCTTTTCATTGCAAAAAAGCTCAAAATTGAGACATACTTCTTTAAAAATTTTATTTTATTTTATTTATTTTTGGCTGCATTGGGTCTTCATTGCTGCGCGCGGGTTTTCTCTAGTTGAAGTGAGTGGGAACTACTCTTCGTTGCGGTGCGTGGGCCTCTCATTGCGGTGGCTTCTCTTGCTGCGGAGCATGGGCTCTAGGTGCAAGGGCTTCAGTAGTTGTGGCTCACGGGCTGTAGAGCGCAGGCTTAGTAGGTGTGGCACACAGGCTTAGTTGCTTCGCAGCATGTGGGATCTTCCTGGACCAAGGCTCGAACCCGTGTTCCTTGCATTGGCAAGCGGATTCTTAACCACTGCGCCACCAGGGAAGCCCCGAGACAAACATTTTAAACACTAAAACTCAATTATATTTAAACACTCTCCAAAATAATTGAAACAAGGAGCACTTCAAAGCCAGAATATATCAGTTTTATTCTTTTTGGAGGGAGTTGAAAAGGAAAGTCAGAGGGGAACGGCACTGTGGAGTCATTTGTTCTTTCATTCAACGAGTATTAGGTATTCACCACGTGCCAAATGCTACATCAGGAGCACAGTGAGGGAAGGAGAAGCTGGATTTCTGACCCCAAGGAGCTTACGGTCTAATTTTGGTATATTTGTGGGAATGTATCACGAGTCCCAGAAACAGCTAAAGACCAAGATAGGGTGAGATTTCATTCCACAGACTGTATGTTCTGTAGGGACTGGAGGTGAGAGGATTCCAGGAGGTCCTCTGGGGTGACATGTAATGTTAATAGAGGGTGGATGGGATTAAGTGTGGAGGGGAGGGTATTCCAGGAGGGTCACAGCCTCCTGGACCCTAATGCAGACTAAGCTCAGAGGGTGTCAGGTAGGAAACAGGCCTCCCGGGGGTGAGCAGCGCTCAAGGAGTCCTGGGAGATGTCGCCAGGTGATGGAAGCCCTTCACCCAAGACGAACCGGGTCTCTTTGATAAGATTGTCCACAAGGAGGCGCTGTGGGCTCTTGGTGAGGAAAAAGACGGTGCCTGGTCTTGACCGATGCTGCAGAAAATGCCCTGCACTTTCCTGTTTTACATACAGGAATCCCCTATCAGGTTTTCCTTGAACAGTGTTCATTGAAATTCATTAGGAAGATAAAAAATGCTTTAGAAAGAAGTACCCACTTGTCCCCCTGTGTTTTTAAGTAGTATTTCTCAAAGGGTGACACCCTGACCATCTGTACGGATATCACCTGAGGAGCTTGTTTAAACGGGCCCAGCCCTTAACTACTGAATCAGCCACACTGGGAGGGGGCCTGGATATTGCTTCTTAACAAGATCACCAGGAGGTTTTAATGCACAGGCTGATCCTGCGGATGGGAGAGTCAAGATCGTACCAGAGCCATTGTCCCGCTGCTGCCCATCCTAAGTCCTGCCTTTAGAGCTTATGGTTGGACTAGAGAAGAAATAAGATATGGAGAACATAGAATTTTTAGGGTTAAATTTTAGTACGTACACATTTCCTTCATTTAGTTTAAACATTTCCTAGAAATTGAGTCGAAAAACCTTCTTTTTAAATAAGTAAATTTGAATTCCAAAATACAGAACATAACAGCAGATCTGCTCTGTGATGGAGCCGGTGGGATCCATCATCCTGCCTGTCCGTCTCCACACTGCCCCCCAAGGACCCCTAGACTGTGGAACACAATTTAACAACCACTGCTAGAGGTGGGAGAAGTTGTCTCACACAGCTGCTAGAGGAGGGGAATCCTAAAGGAAGACAAAGGGAAACCTTTAATGCGCCCTGATTGTGTGCCAAGGGCTTTACAGGCGTGTCTCACAGCATTCTCACAGCAGCCTGCTGTAGGGCTGGATCAGGGTCTCGGAGAGGTTATCTCACAGTAAACGGCACAGCCTGACTGGAAACCAGGCAGGCTTCACTCATGGAGCGTGTTCTCTTAACAGCTGTAGACCCTTTGTGTAATTATATAGGTAACAACAACGTGCTGTTTCTACGTGAGAGTTGTTAGAATAGCATGACGTCAGAGCTAGAAAAGATCTGAGATGCTGTCTAGCCACGTGGAGCCAAGCAGGCTTCAAATCCTGACTCTACCACTCATTTCCTGGGTGACCTCAGGCACATCCCTTAACCTCTGTAGCCTCTACTTCCCCATCTGTAAATTGGGTATTTTGTGAGCTGGTTGTAAGAGTTAGATGAGATAAATACTTCATGCATTGTCTGACGCACAGTCAGGGTGCAAAAAGCAACAACTATTATCATTCATAAATAGAGGAGTGTAAAGAACCTGCCCAGTCCACACAAGAGGTGGAACCCAGCACCGTCTGACTCCCACCTATTCTGGTTCCCCACCTGCTTCTCCTCCAGTGCTGTCAGCAGGTGGGCGGCTTGGCTGTCGGAGGCTGTGCTCTGAACGGGAGCAGGAAGTGGGTGCTGGTTCCTAGCAGGTGCCCATGCCACCCACTCAGCAGCACAAAGGGCCTGTCCTGGGGTAGCTGGGCAGTGGATGGAATCCCTTTTGCAATGACAAGCTGGTTTTCAGCAAAGCTTGCTTTGAAGCATTTTCTTCATTAATGGAATTCCCCTGTCCCTCCCATGGCTTTCAGAAACAATTACAAATGTGTTCCAGAAAGCGTTGGGTCCCAGCTATAATAAAATCATGCTTAATAATTAGCATTTCTATAGCACTTCGGAGTCTACCAAGTGTGTCTCACATATGTTGTCTCAATTGACTCTCACAGCAATTCCGTGAGACAGATATGGCCAGAATTATTTGGATCACTCCTTTATAAGTGGAGAGAACAAGGCTCAGAGGCTATGGAACTTGCCCAGTGTCACCCAGCTGGTCAGAGACAGAGCTGGGATTAGAATCTATGTTGAAAAGTCCATTGTCAGAACTCACCTGGTATGACCCAGTTCTTCACTCAACCTCTGATATGAGCCCTTCCCTCCAGGAGCTACACAGTGTGAGCTACTCAATGTGGGCAGTTTGCCAGCATTTGTGACCAGCCTCGAACTGCCTAAATACTGTGTTCAGGCAAGGTAGGGCGTCCCTCTGTCTCTCGTGTAAAGGCGCCCAGACTTGGGGTTCACAGGGCTCCAAGTCCATTACCACCAGGATGCTCTCCTCCTCTAAAGAACTCGTTGCCTCAGCCTCAGGGTCGTTCCTTCCTGAGAGTAATTTGTGGCTCATCTCATGCTTTTTCCGAGTTGAGCTTTCTGTTTAGGCAAGGGAAAGGGTGTGCATTTGGTATAGACAGTGCTGGATAAAAGCTAAGTGATGATGTTAACTGTCCTTTGAGAACTGGTTTCCCATAAGCAAAGGCCCCTTGTGCTCAGCCTCATCCAGTGGCCTTGCAAGCTCTTTGGAGACTTGTGGAATGCAGTTGATAGAAAATGAGAAACATTTATCCTCCCACCTCTCAGGACTGACGAGTTAGAGCAGTGGCTACAAGGCTCCACCAGAGGTCGAGTCAAACTCGGATACCCCCACCCCTCCCACCTCAGCATCTTCCCTCTTTGCCAAAACCAGAAGCCATCTTTTTCTCTCTTCTGACCACTGTTTCTCCCGAACCCACTCCTACATCATCCACTGTAAGAAACATCCATTCCTGTCAAAACAGGTGACTTACTGGTCGCTGTGATCATTATAAAAGTTGATTTGGGGCTTCCCTGGTGGCACAGTGGTTGAGAGTCCGCCTGCTGATGCAGGGGACATGGGTTCTGTGCCCCGGTCCGGGAAGATCCCACATGCTGCGGAGCG